GCTGTTAACAACTTGTAACGAGTTTCGGATGGCATTGTCAGACTTGTTACAAGGTTGTTCTGACAAGTCTGATACAGTCATGATATCACAAGAATTTTTTCAAGACGACATAAGGTTGTAACATTGTTGGTATATCATTACTGTATCGAAGTTGTTTGATCAGACTTGTAACAAGTCTGATACAGTAATGATATAACAAGAATGTTTCAAGGTTGATGACAAAAGGGCGTAACAGTATTGTTATACCATGACGGTATCGGACTTGTTAGAACAACCTTGCTACAAGTCTGATAATATCAACAAGGTTGTTACAGGCTGTTTAAACAACTTGTACAATATTGTTATATCATGACTGTATCGAACTTGTAGGAATAACCTTGCTACAAGTCTGATAATATCAACAAGCTTGTTGCAAGCTGTTTAATCAACTTGTACAATATTTTTTTACCATGACTGTATCGGACTTGTTAGAACAACCTTGCTACAAGTCTGATAATATCAACAAGATTGTTAGAAGATGTTAACAACTTGTAAGAAGCTCGATGGCATTGTCAGACTTGTTACAAGTACAGTCATGATATAACAAGAATGGTACAAGATTGACGACACAAGGTTGTAACAATATTGTTATACCATGACTGCATCGGACTTGTTGGAACAACCTTGCGACAAGTGTGATAATATCAACAAGCTTGTTACAAGTTGTTAACAACTTGTATCAAGTTTGATGGCATTATCACACTTGCTACAAGGTTTTTTTAACAAGGCTGATACAGTCATGATAAAACAGGAATGTTACAAGTTTGATGACAGAAGGTTGTAACAATATTGTTATATCATGACTGTATCGGACTTGTTGGAACAACATTGCTACAAGTCTGATAATATCAACATGCTTCTTACAAGGTGTTAACAACTTGTAACAAGCTTGATAGCATTATCAGACTTGGTACAAGGTTGTTCTAACAAATCTGATATAGTCATGATATAACAAAAATGGTACAAGATTGACGAAACAAGGTTGTAACAATATTGTTATATCATGACTGTATTGGACTTGTTGGAACAACGTTACCACATCTGATAATATCAACATGCTTGTTACAAGCTGTTAACAACTTGTACAATATTGTTATATCATGATTGTATCAGACTTGTTGGAACAATCTTGCTACAAGTCTGATAATATCAACTAGCTTGTTACAAGCTGTTTAATCAACTTGTACAATATTCCAGATGATTTTGGTACGCGGAAAAGTACTGGCACTAGTTGTCAAAAAGAAATCCATTTTATGATTGAAACAACTGAATATCTCCTGTAATATACTTTATTTCGATTCCATATTTTTGTCACAGCTATAGTTCTCATAACCAAACATAATTACAAAATTTCAACTAGTTTCATAAAGAATAACGAAAGATATAATTGACTGAATACATCAAAATGGATTTCTATTCGGACAACCCTTTCTGAGCGCTGATTGGCAAAATACGAACACGAGATCACCTGGTTGTTATATCATGACTGTTTCAGACTTGTTGGAACAACCTTGCTACAAGTCTGATAATATCAACAAGCTTGTTACAAGCTGTTGAAACAACTTGTACAATATTGTTATATCATGACTGTATCGGACTTGTTAGAACAACCTTGCTAGAAGTCTGATAATATCAACAAGCTTGTTACAAGCTGTTTAATCAACTTGTACAATATTGTTATATCATGACTGTGTCAGACTTGTTGGAACAACCTTGCTACAAGTCTGATAATATCAACAAGCTTGTTATAAGCTGTTAACAACTTGTACAATATTGTTATATCATGACTGTATCAGACTTGTTAGAACAACCTTGCTACAAGTCTGATAATATCAACAAGCTTGTTACAAGCTGTTTAATCAACTTGTACAATATTGTTATATCATGACCGTATCGGACTTGTTAGAACAACCTTGCTACAAGTCTGATAATATCAACAAGCTTGTTACAAGCTGTTTAAACAACTTGTACAATATTGTTATATCATGACTGTATCGGACTTGTTAGAACAACCTTGCTACAAGTCTGATAATATCAACAAGCCTGTTACAAGCTGTTTAATCAACTTGTACAATATTGTTATATCATGACTGTTTCAGACTTGTTGGAACAACCTTGTTACAAGTCTGATAATGTCAACAAGCTTGTTATAAGCTGTTAACAACTTGTACAATATTGTTATTTCTTGACTGTATCAGACTTGTTGGAACAACCTTGCTACAAGTCTGATAATATCAACAAGCTTGTTACAAGCTGTTTAATCAACTTGTACAATATTGTTATATCATGACTGTATCGGACTTGTTGGAACAACCTTGGTACACGTCTGATAATATCAACAAGCTTGTTTCAAGCTGTTAACAACTTGTAATAAGTTTGATGGCATTATCAGACTTGTTACAAGGTTGTTTTAATAAATTTTATACAGACATGATATAACAAGAATGTTACAAGGCTGATGAAATAAGGTTGTAACAATATTGTTATATCATGAATGTATCGGACTTGTTGGAACAACCTTGCAACAAGTCTGATGATATCAACAAGGTTGTCACAAGTTGTTAACAGCTTGTTCCAAACTTGTTGACAACTTGGGAGAAGCAGTGCGAACACAACTTGTTGACGACTTGTTGGCAGACTTGTTACAAGATGTGAGATTAATAACTAGCATGAACGGTCGTGTTTTATAAGATATACAATGCTTTATATAGCTTGTGAAACGTCTCGATGAGAACATTCGTAGTCTTCAACAATTTAAAATAAATGAATGATATTTGGTGAGAAAATTGAACTTAAAGTTTATGTGAATCAGCATGATTTTGCATCAGATATACCAACTCCTTCACGCTCATGATTTCTTTTGTGTTTTCTTCATCAATTATTAACGAGTTTCACAAGTACTATAGTTAAAACATGAGCAGCCTATCTTTATCTGATATAGCTACAAACTCGAGCCGAAAGCGAGAGTTTGCATATCAGATGAAGATTGGATGCGAATGTTGTAACGTACTTTCCATCTTAAGTTCATTGGGGAAGTAATTTTAAAAATAAACATTGTCTATGAGCCGAGAAAATCAAAGCTGAAGTTTATGTAAATCAGGACAAATCTTTATCCGATTGACAAACATTGATTAAACATTCAGTTCTTTTGAATTTTCTTCATGAATTATTAATGAGTATTTTAAGTACTTTCAAGTCCGGCTATGAAGACTGGACTAGATTTCAAGGCCCCGCAATTTGTTTAAGTCCGAGGACTTTTTGATCCAGTCCTAGGACTGGATCTTAATGTACTTCATCAGTTATCCAGTATTATCATGTGACAAAAATAAGGCAATATGGTTGGCTAATTTACTCATGAATTATTAATGAATTTGAGATGGATGAATGAGTTATTGTTTTGTATGTTTTTCCTATAGTGGCGAGTTCCAGTTCCACAGTTGCAAGGTCTCATGGTGGTTATCAATTTAAGTTGTTCAAGAGTTGAACTCAATCATAGATACGACAATGAGACAATTGCTGAGCAATGTTTAAGGATGAAGGTTTTAGGTAAGCCATCGTGGAGTCTTCAATTTCCATCAGTCTCCCATAACAAGTTCAAGTCAAAAGACTCAAAATACTTTATTTACCGAGGGTTACCCAGTAGTTTTCATGATGGCCCTCACTAAGCTATACAATAAATAAATCTATCAAATTTATACAAATACTACATATTCTAATAAGGCAATTCCAGCTTTTAGTTTATGCGTGCAGAGGATGATGGGAAGTAAGGTATCATATTGCTGATTATGCTGCAAAAAATAAAAATGGTGGCCGTGTAAACACGGAGTGATAGCTTATACTTGTAAAAATTGAAATATTTCGGTTGTTTCGGCAGTTTTTATTGAAATTTTTCAGCATAATCAGCAATATGATACCTTACTTCCCATCATCCCCTGCACGCATAAACTAAAAGCTGGAATTGCCTATTGAACAATATTCGGTTCCTGAAATGTTGAGTGTATTGCTTTTCTAAAATTTGCATAACAAGCATTGTTCGTAATTGACCAGTCTGTCTTGTTCCACTGACGACACGCACTCGAGTGGAAAGTTCTAAGGCCAGAATTATTTTTATATTTTGTGTAATAATATTTAATTTGTTATTTGCTGATCTAGAGCTATATTTATGAACTGTATTTACATAGGTGAAATAGGACTCATAATTTATCTAAAACAAAATTATATTTTTATTTGCAGGCACAACATATTCCTCGGGGATAAGAATATCGAGGAATTATTTTGATCTATTTCTTCTGGGTTTTATTGGAATTCTCGTATCGCTCATCAGAACCTAACAAAATATGTACTCCCTCGCAGCGGCGTAACTGGCCCGGCAATTTAGTCTCGCTATGCAAATTAAAAATTATTATCATTATTCATTTCTTTAGAAATTGATTGTTTTCACAGTCAATGAACACGAAAATATTTGCATAGCGGGTCTAAAATCGTCGGGCTGGCTACGCTACTGCTCCCTCTTTAATGCCTTGTAGCACGAGTTGATTTCTTCCCCATACCTTGCAACGCAAGATGCAGGGAAATTATAGAAAAAAAGGAGAAGAAAAGTAGAAGGCTGCAGCACCTTATGAATATAAATATTACATAAAATAAAAATTTAAGATTAAATAATTGAAGGCACCACAATCATTTTCAAAACGTGTTGGAACAGATACCCAAAAACTTATATAATTTTAACATTTGAAAGTCCGATCCCCCATGCCCTCTACACGCGTAAAAATCTCACATCTTGTAGCACGTCTGCCAACAAGCCGTCAACAAGTTATGTTCGCACTGCTTGTCCCAAGTTGTCAACAAGTTTGGAACAAGCTGTTAACAACTTGTAACAACCTTGTTAATGTTATCAGACTTGTTGCAAGGTTGTTCCAACAAGTCTGCTACAGTCATGATATAACAATATTGTTACAACCTTGTAACATTCTTGTTATGTAATGACTGTATTAGGCTTGTTAGAACAACTTTGCTACAAGTCTGATAATGCCATCAAGCTGGTTACAAGTTGTTAACAGCTTAATTGTTCCAAACTTGTTACAACAACTGGGAACAAGCAGTACGAACACAACTTGTTGACAGCTCGTGAACAGACTTGTAACAATTAACTTGTTTGCAGACTTGTAACAACTTGTGAATTTTTACGTGTGTATTGAACGTTGTATTCCAGGTACACATGTCACGTAAAAACGCACACTGAAGTTGTAACGAACCTGCAGCAGACTTGTAGCAATGCTGTTTCAACAACTTGTCAAAAGGATGTGTTCGCACTGCTTGTTCCCAGCTTGTTAAAAAGTTGTCACAAGGTTGTTGAGCTTGACAGACTTGTTCCAGGTTGTTCCAACAACTTGTTATCGTCATGCAATTCAACAATTTGTCTGTGAGTGAGTGACAACCTTGTGGCAACTTGATAAAATAACAACATTGTTACAACTTGTTGACAAGCTTGCTACAAGCTTGTTGCGAACATTGTTTGACAAATTGTGAGATTTTTACGAGTGCACTATCTTATTTTCTTGTTCTGTAGTGTCTGAATTGGAAAAACAACATTGATTGGGGACGGGGAAGGGAAATAAACGTATTTAAATAAATTGCATTTATCGACTAGTGATAATGTGTAAATATCTGTTAAAATATATCAGTGTGGTAATGTGTGTTTGTGTTCCTAAATATGCTATAACTATGTTGTCTTTGATGTCACAGAAAAAATCATGATTATTATTAGATGACATTGATATCGAAGGAACTAGATTCTGTTCCGAAATATCACATACTCGAACCGACCAGACCGCGTAGCTCAGTTGGCAGAGCATTAGGCTAGTACTCCAAAGGTCGTAGGTTCGATTCCCACCGTGGTCAGGCATATTTTTCAAGCTTGCCCGGTGTGGATACACACTCAGAGTAACATCACAAGCATCATATTCACCTGAGTACATTACACCAACACAGAAAAAAATATGTTGTCTTTCTTGAGTTGGTATGGGATTCTTGTCCTGTTGACTATACCTTCAACATTATTCCTTTCCTTCATATATATATATGTGTATATTCTTAAATTTAATTTCTAGTATTTGTTCATGTATAAAAGGCTGTAAAGTTATTAAATAAATATAAAATTTCTTACATATCCTTCAGAAGTTACCTAAAAGCAAAATTCCTGCTGTGATCCGAAAGAAAGTTTAATAGTGCATGTGGTCATTCCCCTTCAGAGCAATTTTTTTTATTTTACAAGGTAAAAACTTTGCAAAAACATTTTTTGAAGGTGCACAGTGATTAAAATAAAAAATTTAAAAAAAAATTTTGGTTACTCATTAATTACACTAATTATCCAATATGGCCGCCGACTAATTAGCCAAAAAATGGCGTCGCATGAATCCAGATACAGCAGACACAATTAATCAGAACAACATAAATGACATATATTTGGAAAGCTTATAACAAGATCTAGTGCTTGACCATTTTTATTTTCTCTTTTAAACAATTTTACCAAAAAAAATTCTAAACAATCCAAATATTAGGGAAAAAGCATTTTTTTATGCCTAATTAGGTAATTAAACTCCATTTATGCATCTTTAATGAAGTATATTGAAAATAAAAAATGGTCAGGCACTAGATTATGTTAATGGCTATAAGTATACCAAATTTCAACCTCTCACAATAAATATTCAAAAAATTATGCTATCTCAAAAACTTAATGTACCGACAAAACTGTTAAATTCAGAAAATAGTGTTTTAAAGTTGTTTTTCATTATTTTGTTGCCTAGAATGCACCTGCCTCATAGGAAACACCTTCTTTGTCTTCAAGACTGTCAACATAGTGTTTCCTTTGGTGTCTCAACAATTTCCTTCTGTTCTTCACTTTCTCTGTGCTCTTCTTTGCCGACAGTTTAATTCTTGAACCGTCGGAATCTTCAGCGCCTTTACCGGAGAATATACCAGGAGTTATATCCAGGTCAGAAAACGACTTCAACAAAGAAATGTCACCATCATTAAATTTTAAGATGGCCAGGTAAGTGGCAAGAGCCACAGTTTCTTGCTCAACATAAACAGTCTTTGGACATCTATCCCAGATCATCCCGTTTAGACACTCGTTGACATTCTGCGTCAAGCCATGGGTACATTTACTCAACAAGACAGGATTACTAAGGTCCTTGTATATAGGCTTAATCAGCTCAACAATGCAGCTTGGAATTCCATTCTTGTGCTTGTATCCCTCCTTGTCTTTGTTATACCCACACCAACTGTCCTCTCCTTCTGGGCAAAGATGATGCTGTGGTAAAGAGATGCTTCAATGTACTTGGCCATATTCTCAACACTATCCAGGTTTTCTCTGACTGCCAGACCATAATAGTTTTGCAATATGTCTATTTTAGCATCTGTCAGTCTGCCTTTACCAGCCAAGCCTTTGCCATCAGCCAATTTCAATCCCTTGCTAGAAGTCTTCAATTTCCGTAAACGACTTCCGACTCTCTTCTGAACGTGGCCAATGCACTCCAATTTCTCTGGAATGCAATCCTCCCCATATGGCTCCCTTTCAACAATGGTGCTGTAGGTAGAGGAATCACCATCTCCAAGCATTTTGGTATACTTCAGCCCTCGCGTATCAAGCGACCGTTCAAAAATTCTAACAGCCCCAGCTGTTTCCATGCTACCAGCACTTCCTTTATGGTTGATCTTGCACTTGTGGGATGCCTTCCATGCATTATACCTTGGATCTTGAATCCTTTTCCCCCACTTTTGGCATTGCTGACATTTGTCTGATAGCACTTCGACATCCAGGCATTTCTGTGTATCCAAGGAGATCACCGTAACAACCCCATTGTGCGACGAATATCCTCTCTTCTGCCATGTCCCATCAATCGACACTCCACATTCTCTATCATCATTTCCACTGTCATCTCTGATGTTATAAGCATTGTTGACCATGCTATCATTAGCCAACTTCTGCACAACTGGCAAAATTTTTTCGTTTTGTATTTTTGTGAAGTTCCGTCGGGTGGGTGGAGCAGGCATATTCATCACCTTGTTGAAGGTAGTCATGGCATTATGTCCTTTGCCAATTTCCCTAAAAGCCAGGACTGCTCTGACATTCACTTCATGGGAACGACCTTGTTTTCTTGAGGAATTAAAAGAATATTTCCAGCCACACTCCATATTTTTACATTCTAACACAATGTAGTTTGAATATCCACATTTCTTTTTCAAGTCAACATGTGAGTCGATATCACCACCACAATCTGGGCATTTCAAGACATCAAAAACATTGAATAATATGGATAAATCCATAAATATAGTTCCTTCTTTTAAATTATGATCAATAACTTTCGACATATTACGAAGCGCTGCTGTATTTTTGCCAATCTTCTTCGCAGAAGGGCCAGGATTTTTATACATTCTCAACACTTTGAGAATTATATGCCAGAAAATCTTGATGATTTGACATGCAATTATTACCTACCAAACGACTTTACTATGAGTAATATTACTGATAACAAAAATCTATCGATACTAAACCTTAATATAAGAAGTATAGCTAATAAGTTTGACTCGTTTAGGAATCTTCTAAGTACTTTGAAACAACCTTTTTCTATAATTAGCCTAACTGAAACTTGGCTAAATGAACAAAACAGTGAAAATTTCCATCTTACTAATTTTGATTTTGTTTGCTCAAACAGAGCTAATAAAAAGGGCGGTGGAGTAGGAATTTTTATCTCAAATAATTTAAACTACAAACTACGAACTGACCTAAATATAAACGAAGACGGAATAGTTGAATCACTTTTCATTGAAATTATTTCAACAACTGGTAAAAATATAATTGTTGGTACTATCTACAGACCGCCAAGTGGTAATTTTGAAATGTTTGAAAATAAACTAAATGCAATACTAACCGAAGTTGACAAAACAGGGAAAATAACATATTTGACAGGGGATTTTAACATTGATCTTTTGAAATCAGATGATTGCGATTATTCCAATAGATTTTGTGAGCAACTTTTTACTTCATCTTTTTATCCGCTGATAAATAGACCATCTAGAATTACGCAGCATACAGCCACGTTAATTGATAATATCTTTACAAACAATCTTGAACAAATAGAATCTGGTGTAAATGGACTAATTTTCTCAGATATTTCAGATCATCTCCCCATATTTCATATAGCTTCTTCATCCACAAATAAAAATAATACAAAAAGAGGAAATGAACATTATAGAAGAATGGTCGACAAAGATAATCTAGCTTCGTTTTTACTATCTGTGAAAAATATATCGTGGGAAAGTACTTTCGAAACCAATGACCCTTGTGAATCCTATACGAATTTTCACAATAATTTGAAGGTAGCAATTGATAAATGTTTTCCTTTAGCAAAAATAAAAAAGAAAACTGTGGATCACACAAAAAGTCTCTGGGTGACAATTGGTATATTTAAATCCATATCCAAGAAAAATAAACTCTATAAAAATTTTCTAAAAAAGCCA